ATTTTTTTTCAGGTGATAGTTATTTAAAGCCATATGTGATATCTGAACCGGAGGTGACCATAACGGAGCGGATGGCGGAGGATGAGTGTTTGATTCTGGCGAGTGATGGGCTATGGGACGTGGTATCTAATGAGACCGCGTGTGGGGTGGCACGTATGTGTCTTCAATCCCGGAAACCACCATCACCGCCTAGATCGCCGGGAAATGACATAACGGTGACGGAATCCGGAGAGAGCTCCGACAAGTCCTGCTCCGATGCGTCTATTCTGTTGACCAAACTGGCTTTGGCCCGACACAGCACCGATAACGTTAGTGTTGTGGTAGTTGATTTGAGAAAGGACTTGTAACAATCAAAATTTTATTTTAATTTTTTTCCTTATTTTTTTTTCCTTTTTATTAGATAGGTGATATTTAAGCATATTAATGAGCCAAAGAGAAGCGAGGAGAAAATGGGAACCATATCTTGTAATTTGTACTTGGCAAATATTATGTTACATAAATGTTATGAAGTCCTAGCATTAAAGACCTGCCTAAGATATTCTTATGGATTATATGATTCTACGATTTATCGCAAGTCGACATTAAGCGGTACATATGCTCGTGAATTTTTTATTTTTCGCTTTTATTTAGATTAAATCAAGTTGCCTCCTAACATGTAGGAATTAATTTTATATTGTGAAATGGATTTAATAAAGAAAAATATTGTACTTGTATATATGAAGAGTGAAGTTTGAATAATTAAATGTTAATTTAAGATGTAATAGTTAGTCATCATATTGTGTGACGCAAGAATCTCTCCTAATTATTTGTGGACCATGTCACAACTTGGGATTATATAATTTAGGATTATATGGTATGTGAAAATCAATTTTTTTTTTTTTTAATTTGAAAATGTAGATTATTTTCAAGGTTATTGGGTCAAAATCTCAACCAGAATGATGTAAATTATTAAGGGTATCTTCTCTTTACCTTTTTCAAATCGTTTCCTATTTTCTATTTTTCAAACAGTGAAAACGAGTTCTCTTTTCTATTTTCGAAAATATGTTTTTGAAAACAAATTAAAAATTTACAAAGAAACTCAAAACGACAAATTTATTGTTTTAGGTGTTTTCAGTTATAATTTTGCTAAAATTTTCAAAACGGGTTTTGGGTGTTTTTAAAACAATTTTTCAAAATGTCAAAAAGAACACATTTTCAACAATCTCAAAATAAACATTCAAAATACAAAACTAAAATACAAAGAAAACAGCCACTAAAAGTTTCTACTTGACTGAAACTTATTTTTTCTTAAATTTAATTTCAACTACACATTTTATGAGATCTACAACTTTTATAATTGTTTAATAAATTTAGTTAAAAATTTTGGTCAACGTAGGATGGATTCGATTAGTTAAGCTGATTATTTTAGTAAGCATTGATTAAGTGTCAATAATGTGAACCTTTGGAGATTAGCAAGGGGTGTCGGGGCCCATATGGACGAATGTCAACTCCTTTTCACAAAACGGGGCTCCATTACCATTAGGGATTCGAATCCTTTTATAAGATTGCGACAACTCGACAATAAACCACCCTCAACGTAAATAATTAGGTGCTCCAACATTATGCCCACTCTCCCATCTCTCTCTCTCTCATAATGGTCACTACCCTTATGCATGTATAGAGAGAGGGACACACATTTGTGTCTGAATATATGAGTGTGATTGGTAGAGATTAAAATCGGGTTAANATATATGAGTGTGATTGGTAGAGATTAAAATCGGGTTAAAATTGAAAAATTAGCCGTTATTGTTGACTTTTATTAGATCGGTGAAACCCAATAACGACTATATTTTCAATTTTAATTGGATTTTTAGTGTTATCAAACAAGCTCTATATATGTATATATATTTGGTGGGAAACATTTTTGCTTGAAATGTGGATTGATCAATAAGAGCAAAACAAGAATTATGCTATTCATTTAGCCTATATTTGGCCACCATTTTCTCAAAAATCTTTTTTTCAAAACTCATTTTCAATCACATATTCTCACATAAAATAATTTTACAAATAAATCCCAAACTTTTTTTTTAAACCACGCATTCTCCAACAAAATACAATATCAAAATATATTTTGGACCAAAAATGAGGCTACACTTAAGAGTCTAACATGTTAAAATGTAATGCTATTCAACACTATTGATGTTTAACACCGATCTAGATGGCAGCGCTTATATCATTAAATTATAGGTTCAATGAAATACAAAAATTTATGACTCATTGAATTATTAGAAAATTACAGTGTAATGTAATCTATGATATGCTGACATTTAAACTGATGCTAAATAACTTTTTATTTTTTTGGTAACATTTGGCGTTGCTCGATCACAAATGTAGTCACACAGTTCGAGCGAGCGGTCAGAACATATCGACAAAGACAAGCATAATGTTCGTGGCTTGAGTAACTCAACAGTAATTTCCTAATAATTCATCACCATTTAATAAGACTACTAATCCCCATTTTCATAATAATTCACCATCCCCACCCTATAAGTCAGCAGAAGGAATCTCAGATCTCTGCCAAAGATATATATTTAGACTGTATGCTTGACCTGGAAACCACTTGTTGTCGTTTTGATGAACAAGATACCAAACTTTCCTCCCAATATAAGCAATGCACAGTTGTTGAACTCCTGTTTATCTGGACACGATGCTCAATCTACATCAGCAAAACCATTAATTTCAATGCTGTCACTCCTTTTAATTCAAAGACCTTGATCTAATGTTCTGAATTTTTTAATTAATGTTGAATTTTTGTCTTCATTATTTAATTAATTTGCACATCTAGTCTTTGAAGATGATTTATGTCAAAATATTCTAAAAGGAAAAACTACTTTATCGTACTTTTGCATTTATTGTTTTCTTAAAAATACGATGGAAAAAAAATCGTTTTACGCCCTTCCAACAAATACTTTGGACGGGAAATTTTCTTAAAAACGAGATATACTAATTAATGGAAGATTGTGAATAAGAATACGTCGGAAAAAAAGTTAGGGACGTAAAAAACTATAACGAGCAAATTAACCTTGATTGCAATTAAAATATGGTGTAATTAATAAAAAGTTAAAAGTTGTAATATTATATAATTACCCTTAAAAAATTTTATAAATCTTACTCAAAAGAATGTAATATTTTAAATAAAAAAAAAACTTTTAGTGAAGAATAATCAGATTATAGTATTCCAAATGTTATATAGAGTACTACACAAGGTGTGGCTTGTTTTTTCAAATAAGGGTATCTTTATTTGTTCATTTATTTAATGGCATATACGTAGTAAAAAAAAAAAAAAATTCTATTTTTTCACCCTGATTTGACAACCTTTATTTTAAAACTCTTCATATTCATTTTCAATCATACATTTAAACAATAAAATATTTTTACAAAATAACTGCAATCAAACAGGGGCATAATATAGTATATGTAAATTTCCCTATTTATTAATACCTAAATGTAATTGTACTGATTAAAAGAGAAAAAAATACCTAACTTTTCTTCACCATTTCCACTCCCAAGACTGTCAAAATGGTTCAGTCGAACTACAATCAGAAAATCATAGATATTAGAGAGATGAGACCGACAATATAGAGAGCAAAGTTGTTTATTCATCAGATAAATCGCCATGTAATAATTAAATCATTGTCGCATTGTCCAATAAATAAATATATACTCAAAATGAATAATATTGAAGAAACAAACTTTGTTGCATCAACATTACAAAATGGATTAATCCCCAAGTATAGGGGCTCAAATTACAGGGCCATTACAGGCGAGCAGTGGGCCCCACCTGTTTAAAAAATTGAAAAAAATGCCACCCCACCACCCCAATGTGTTTTGCCTGTGAAACTACGCACCCCCTCCCCCTGTACTTGTAGCATTTCCCTTTTAAATAAAATAAGAAAATACATCGAATCACTTTTTTACAATGAGCTAAATATCAACAATAATGTCCAAAAGGATCGCACTACATGAACAGGGTCACATACCCTGTTCAAGCGGGGGCGATGTGGCCCCCCCTATAGGTGGGACACCTATATGACCCTGTTCAAAAAAATAGGGAGGGCACATATCATTAGACAATTTGAAAAACAAAATAAAAGTTGGCCACACACGCAGCACCTGTCCCTGTCCCTGTTTGAGTAGCATTATTCATCCCTAAATTAATGGGTGAAGATGAGTCAGCTTTAAGTGGAGTGGCCACCAATTTCTCAAAACTGTGGTGGCGTCACATGCTTAAAAGTAACATCTTGCGGACATGCAAACGTGTACCACTTGCAAGGTAAAAATAATTTAATTTGACTTCTTTATGTATACAGATTGAAAATTGGCCACGTTTTTCAATTGAGTTTGGTCAAGCTGCTTATTCAAGAAATTATTTAGAAAATGATTTGAGGTCATAGAGTTCACATAAGGAGCCTCCAGAGAAAGTTCGTGTCGAGCCAATTTCGACTTAGCTCAAGCCAATTATAAAATATGATTGAACGTAACGACTTACTTAACATGTGAAAAGAATAATTGACAATGTAGAATTGGAAACTGAATGTGTAATTTTCATTATCTATATACTTTTCTACGGTGTTGCTTTCTGGAAAGTATTTTGACATATATTTTCTGCATAACTAAAATCGTGGCTAAAGACTCCATTGGGCATTTCACATTATTCCATTAGTTATATTATCTTTTTGGACACGCATTACTCTAGAACCTGATTCTTGTACGTGAAGGGCATTGATGGTTTTATATAAATCCCCACTATTGACTAAATAAAATAGATATAAAACAAAATTTATCAATTGTCGAAACTATCGATATACATACAAAGAACCTCAAAAATCATCATCTTCGGCCCTCTAAACAGCGATGCTTCAGGTTCATAACTTCTACACATTCCTTTGAGATAACTGAGTCAAAATTACTACATGTGCAGCGACCCTATTTGATTTCCTTTATAATGTTGATCGCGCTTTTTATTGGCGTTTGTCGCAAGTCAAGACCCTATAACCGGAATGAGGACCCTCCGATGTTTCCCGAACAGATACATGCCAACCCATGGCTTCGCCAATCTCTTGAAGTTCATCCATAACATCAATAGAATCACGAATATATACATGTCCACCGGGCCTCAAAATGCGATCCATTTCAAGCATGATGTTAGAGACATTGCATCTGATGTAAAAGAAAAGAAAAAAAAAATGTTTCATTCAACAAGTTTGCTCACAAAAATAAAAGAAACATGGATGTATGTGTACTCAAAACAGAGCCAGCCAATCGATGCTATGAATTGTGCATGCTAAAATATTAGAACTCTAAAACTTCATCCAGTACCAGGTATAACTATCTAAAACTCTCAAGTTCTTATGGCCACATTAGGAAATGTAAGTGCAGCACAGGGAGAGGAAACTTAAAAGGAGTACCTTTTTCGTTCAATAGAGAAGAGGCCGGCAGCATGAATTAAATCATATGTTCTTGGGTATGTATCAAATGGTTCGCACCTGTAAAGTTGTGTACAGCTCGTTATACATCATATAAACTCAACAGGAAAAGGGCTGATCAAACCCAAAACTTCCTTATAAGATTAGGGCACATTTTGGAACTAAAACAATGGTTATAACATTTCATTTATTCATGTATTTAGCTTTTGTTGGAGAGAAGGGGAGGTAGAGGTGGAGTCAGAAGCAAACTGCTATAAGAAGAACATAACCTATAACTATAGTGACATCAAAGAACACATCATAATCAATTCTCACCAGTCATGCATAACTCCAACGAGACCGCGGTCATAAATGACAGGCAATGTATTGTGTCCACTAACAGGCACAACGTTGAGTACCCAGCTATCCAAATTGTTTTCAAATAGTGCAGCTGCAAATCTGACAGAAAATGAACTAATTACTTAGCATACAAAAAACTGTAAAACCACTAATGACGAGCTAAGTGCTACTTTGTATCTTCTAAAAATTATGTGGATGGTAGTAGAACAGGATGGACACACAAATGAAAAGAATTACCCTCCAAAGCCAGCTCTCATGTCCAACACATTTCTAAGTTCTAACGAGTTCCAACGTAAGACGCGTACATAGCCGTCAATTATTTCATTCCAATATTTTGATTCTGCCTTGAACAGCTCTTTTCTTGATATGTAAGCATCAATTTTTATGCTTTGCAGCCTATCTGGAGGATTCTGCAAGCGTGCAGGCCAGGCTGTAACATTTGAGCCATATCCTTCCTCAGGTAACCGTGTTATGCATGCCTTCAAATCTACATACCTACCATAATTGGGAAATGGAAACTTTAGGAGCAACATTAACATAATTCTTCTTCTCAGATCTTTTATATGATTCAACTCTATACTGTTCAATTATCACCACAAAAAACAAAAGCAGAGAAATTCACAAGCAATTAAATTTACATATTTCAAGTATTTCCATACCATATATTGCTTTCTATTCTTTATCTGTCTCTTTGGTTTTTGATAATTTTAAAGCAATGTTTAATGTCATTTTTGCTTGGTCGTGAAAAATGAATAACATGTCCAACAGTCATACAAGTGTCATGACTTATGCTAAGAGCTACCCCTGCATTGGATGTTGGCCATACAACTTTTCAAGTATACATGCTCAGAAAAGCATAGGATGTTGCATGTATATGAAGAAACATAACGAAACCTAGAACCCCTATACCCCAATCAGTTGTTAAGTTTACAGAAAAAGTAAAGCAAAAGGTGAAAAATGTACCATACACCGTCCGGATCATCATCTGCATCACATAATGCTGGTTGGGTTCCTTCCTCACGGCTCAAATAACAACTGTTATTCAAGGGCTTCTGCCATATGGCAATGCGTCCCTCCTTCTTAATGAGTGTCCAACAGAGACGGCTAGTAAGGTTTACCATCTCTGGGGAAAAAAAACAAATAGATAAGCTGAATCAATAAAATACTGCTTTTTGCACCGGTAGCTAAAATTATGCAACTCATATAAAGCCAGCCCTCACTTTGAACAGTTATGGCATGATAATTCCAAAATACAGTAACACAATTGACATAAGACAAGGCAAGTCAGTAGAAGTCGAGGAATATGATTCTCCTTTCACATATGATAGGCCAAAAGTCGGGGGCCTATTTGACTCTACTTGATGATACCTGTCTTTTTTTTATTATAAAAAGACGACTCATTTATTAAAATTTCCCAAGTATTTTCACCTTTCCATTGTTCTTCAAGAAGTGCTTCATGTTTATAAACAGGCTGTGCGGCCCAAGCGAAATATCCTCCAGCACGGAGCATCCTGTTGACCTCGAGTAGCAGAATACCATCTTCACAACAATACATGAAGATAGAGGCCAAAATGTTAGTTTCATATCAACTGTAATCAGCTATGGTGACTCTTTTGAGACTGATGATATGTAAGTCCACATATTTTACATAAAGCAAACATAATCTTTAATATAAACTCCTTTAGTAAATCTTTAGGTCGCAGCATTCTTTTATGGATTTATAGATTACCATTTTCATTCACTAAAGATTTGGCACTCAAAAGTGAACAAGTCTTACTTCAGCATGTCAAGAGTTTCAGTTACATAGCAATTGAATATGACATAGGAGCATCAGTAAATCACAGTCTAGACAATGACTATAGGCTCTTGTAACAAACAATAATACATGAACAAAGTAAAAAATGAGTTAGAAAAGCATACCATCCCGGGTCCAATTGATTCTACATCTTGAACAATGTATCAAGTCAAATGCCTGACTTGGATATAACAGACGCTGTGTTGCGAAAGCTGCCACCATTGCAGGAACTCCACGCTCAAGTGCAAACTGAATCTGGTTCTCATGAATATCTTTTGGGGCTATAGATAAGGTTGTAACATTTCGTGATAATAGATAAGCACCAGAACTTGCAACTCCACAGCCAATATCCAAAGCAACTCGGGTACGTCGGCCGAAAGCTATTTCAGGGACCATCTACATGGTAAGACAATAAACAGATGTAAAAGCTTTTTTCTCTTGGATTAGAGCATTAATAGTATAAACAAACAAATAAATAAACACCTTTTCGATCTGATCCAAGTACGTATCTGCCCCATGTATGAACTGTGTCCCACCTCCAGGAAACTTGTACTTGTCCCTATCAATCGTGATCCAATTTTGACCCCCTTTATCCTTGGATAAAGGGGTGTGAGGAACGTTACTAAACCAAACCTGTATATCATAAGAAGAAGCACAATGCTCCTGTAAACTGCTTATAATAATAATAATCATGTTAAGCTTGGCACTCTTCTGCCGAAAAATGCATTCTGATGAACATTAATTGCTATTAATCTTACTGCAATTCAAACGTGCAACCAAGAATATTACAATCTAAGTGGCCTTTCACCAAAAAACAATTGCTGATTTGCTGATCTTTACTCTCAGTTTCTAAACCTCCCAAAAAGATGTTCCTTTCTAATCAATAATGCTGTTAAGAAGTTCAATACTCCTGGGCCAACTATTGGATCATTGGCTAAGGCAACATTTTGTGAGGGCCATCAAACACAAGGGAATGTAAGACTCACTTAAATGTCCAAGAAAAGCAGAATACATATGAAATTGCAAGAAACTAATTTCATCAATTCCAAATGAAGAAGATACCTCATCGCGGCTTTTAGGCCAGCGAATCGGAGTTCTGTACCCTTTTGGAGCAGGGATTAAACAGTTCAATTCCTTCCCCTTTTCGGGACAATGCCGCTGCTCCCCTTTTTTGGTTGAATTAAGCTTCTTAATGGCCTCCTTGTAGTCCAAACACGGAATGTACTCTCTCATATTCTGGGAACACATTGGAAATTTGCTGACCCTGACCCTAACCTTATCCCGCTTGGTATCACTCTCCAAACCCCCAGTCTCATTTGCCCTCCGCCAATTCTCCACCACCTCCAAATCAAACTCCCCCACCTCAAAATCCTCCGTCATCACCCCGTTCACATCCACCAGCCCCATCCTCTGCACTGCCGGTGGGTATGGCGAAGGCGACACCCAATTAGTTTTATTCAGATTAGAAGGAAGCGAAATTGATGAATTATAATTTTTTGTAACTCCATTATTAACTGAATATTGATGAGAGGAAAAGAAAATAAGTTGCTGAGAAGAGCCATCAGAAAAACGCTTGTCCAAGTAGAAGAAAACTACTAATACGAGCAAGAAACCGGAAATTTTGGCTAATGTGGCCGATTTGCACAGAATTGATCCTCCTGCATTACTCATTGCGTTTATTCAAAAGGCTCAAATTTTTCAAAATTCTTGAATTGCTGCAGATCCGAACTTCATGCAGCGTTTGAATTTATATATTCCTGTATAGCTCGAGGTGATTCAAACGCTGTTATCGCAATTTTCCATGATCGAGGGAGGGGAAATTGTGGGTGGCCGATCCCAATGAACTCGTAATCTGTGTACTCGCATATTTGTATTTATCGATTTCTTGGCGTGTGCCATTATTATTATTATTATTATTATTATTATTATTATTTTTATAGTATTTTTTTGAGGAAAAACATCAATATATTTTAAGAAGGCGAAAAAATGTACCATCAGATGTTTGTTATTAACTTGTTATCGTATTATAGTACAACTATTAGACATGGGCGCTTGGGCGGGGGAGTTGTAAGGTATGCTTATTTTCAATCAAAATTATTCTTAAATTTATTAATCTATTAATAGAAAATTTATATTCTAAAAGAATTATTTTAAGTCGAGACACGTATATTATGATAATAGAATAATCTCAAGTTTGAAATAAGAATTTTATTATGGAAAGGAAAATAAGTTAATTGTTTGACAACAAAAATGAAATATAGAAAAAATGTACAGAGAAATACTGGTTTGCGGCGTACGAGTTTTGCGTAGGGAGAAATCGTGAGGGTGAAAAAAATATATCGTATTGAGAGATTTGTGATATGATTCACGTTTATTCATATTTTTCTCTTTCGTACTTGAATTCTCACAGACAAATTTCATCCAAAACATTCATTACTTATGCATACATTTGGTCCTTCAATTTTAGATTATAGCATATGTGATTTAGAAATTTCAATTGAAGAACCCTCATTTTTAACCTAAAAAATGAATAACTTAAAATCGAAGTGAGGAGATTTCCCTTCGCCCTAGCTTGCATTTATCCATGCTTATTAGGAATGTTTACCGGAGTTCTAATCCAACTATCCATGAGATATTCATTTAGGGCACGTTTGGAGTCACGTTAAATTGACTTATATACGAGTTAAAAAATTACTTAGGGTATAATTAATTTATAAGTTATAAAAATACTTATATAAGTAGAAACATCACTTATGAGTTTTAAAAAATATCTTTATAACCAAAATGTTTACTCTATAATCAAATCAAATAAGAAATACTGTTTTTCGCTATACAATTCAAAGACGAGAATATTAACATTTTCCTTTAAAGAGAAAGGAAGATTTTTTTTTTGTCCGTTCAATTTGTTAAGAGTTTTTGTCTCTTGCTTTGAAATAAAGAAAATAATCAATTATTTTTATTGCTCAATTGACTGGAACCTCGTTCTTATAATGTTTTATAAAACTAAGAAAGAAACGCAAAAGAAAAGTAATTGTCGAAACTCTCAAGTGTAGATTTTGTTATAACAATGACCTCTATACAGGATTTCAATGGATTTACAATATGAATTGAATACACTATTCTAGAGTAAGTAAACATTATCTATGTATCCTAATAAAACTAAATAGTCGTCTATAATTATATCATAATTTTACAACATTGTATACTTTTTCGAATTGTCTTTGATTGTTTAATGATGACTTAATCACATAGGTAGCCAAAAATGAATTTCAGATAACCCAACATCGATAGATTTTGAAGTGTAACGATACACTACAAGTTTGGACAAAAGAACAAGTAGAAGCTTGGAAGTCATTTGCTGATGTTCACGAGAAAGGTGTCATATTTTTTTTTTGCATGTTGTTGTAGTACATGTAAAACATCGTCTCTCTGATTAAACATTAATATATTTGTTATGGGTTTTGGTTCTTGAAGTTGAAGTGTAATGATACACTATGAGTTTGGACAAAAGAACAAATAGAAGCTTGGAAGTCAATTATGGATGTTGTTCACGAGAAATGTGTCATATTTTTTTGCAGATGTTACTTACGTACATGTAAAACATCATCTCTTTGATTAAACATTAACATATCTGTTACGGGTTTTGGTTCTTGTTGTAAAGTACACGTGTGATATGCGTGCTATCAAAATTGAGCAAAAACCGTGTTTCTAAAACATGACTTCTTTAGTGGAGGTCTTGAGTGAGATGTTGATACGTGAATTGATGGTGGCCATTAACTCTAATGTTGCTATTGGAGTCTTCTAATGGTTTAGCTTTTCGTTTCGTCATTTTTGTGGTTAATGGTATTTGGCTTTTGAGAGACTTTTTGCAATCTTTGTTATCTGTATTCTCTCTTTCTTGAAAACTCTCATTAGATCAATTGAATGTTAAAATTTATTTTCACTATGATGAGTTAGATAGGCAAATTTATATGAAACCGCCCTTAGGTTGTATACAATCAATGGGATGAGCTTGTTTATTTACTTAAGATTTTTTTTTTTTTTTCACTTTATTTTTACATGGTAAAAGTCACAAAATAAAGTAGTATTGAAATTGTACTGAAAATCGATTCTCTTTCAACTTTAGAACTATTTGGATCTCTTTGATTTAAGAAGCTATGAGAAAGAAACATAACCCAAGCCTTGATCGGATAGGATCTATTCATAACAGCTTAAGTCGTAGAAATCCAACGTACAGTGCACATGTTTCTAACTAGTTTATACCATTATGACTCAACTGAGAAATTATGAAAATAACATTTTTGGAACCAAATTAAAGTTTGTTCATATAGCTAGAATGCGAATTAGAGTAGAATGGAGCCTTTCAGTTCTTGGTTGTAAAACTCTAATTCATACGAATTTTAATTGAACCGTCTTGACTAGTTCGATCTGATATGGTTTATTTCAGTGGTTTCGAGCTAACAACATGAATTTCCCATAAATTCGAGCAAATAAAATAAAATTTTGTGGATAATGAATGCCACACGTTTACGGAAGAAGATTGCACAGCCCGTTTGACATGGGCCGATTTATGGGTGAACCCAAAAGAGTCGTTGGCCATCAAAGCGTTCATTATCCGAAGAGAAAATTACCTGCATCCCTGCATTCAAGTTTCCAAATTCAAAAATCAGGGATAATATTTATTTAATCAAAAATCAGGTTTTAAATCAATTAATAATGAAATCCCTAATTTCCATTCCCGTCCCTCATTCATCTCCATCAGTTCCTCATTCATCTCCACCAGCTCTGAATCGTCCCACCTCTCTCTCGTCTGTCCCTCCACGCTCTCCTCTCTCTCGTCCTTCATCGCGTTGTCGCCAAAGACCTGTGAGCAGCGACGACGCTCCCCTGCGATAGCCGGCAGCATCGTGCCGAGAT